AAATTAACTGCTCCTCAACTGGAACATACTTTAGGACTAATTACCCCAGCTGTGCACATTGTGTACAAATAACAAACTATACATACATATTAAGAATAAAAAATGATCAATACCTAGTTGAAAACTCCTACAGTGGAGTGGAGTTGTATGGGTTAGAAAACAGTGCCGCTGTTGTTCTGCATTCCTCCTCCAGGGAGAGCCCGACGCATGTCGTTCTCTTTTTACAGAGAGGGCTGGTCATCGGGCCACTGATGCCATCACGTAAACTACGTAACATCCTAATGTACACTAGTTGAGCTGCAAACATGAGAAAGCACATTGTAAGTTTATGTTAATTAAAATTAAAAATGAGTACAATGAGCAGCACAATTTAGAGACAGAATTAACATCTTAAACAATATAGGCCTACATCTTAAAGTGGCATTGTAAAATAGGACATATTTTTTAAATAAAGTAATATTTAACAAAAGTATTTTCCATCTAACTAACATGTTACATTTTTTAAATAGATCAGTAATATTTCAAATAGGTATTTATGTCTTTTATAATTCTTCAAACATTTAAAAAATATACATATTTTAAAATTGGTATTATAACGTATAGAGACTGTTCTGCTACAACATATAAATCATGGAACTTACAATCAAAATGGCATATAACATAATACTATACTATCACAAGACCATGTTTACTTTTACAGCACAAAGTGACTAGGCTATATTTAGTTTTTAACCTCAAAGAGAATAGCAACATATGCAATATGCAAAGTGTTTGAGAAATGACCTGACTTTTTAAAATAAGTTTTAGGTAAATCGAGATATGTCTCATGTTGAATTGGTGAGGAAGATAGACCTAGAAACAGGGAACTTCACAAAAACTAGAGTTTAATTTATTTTTAATATAAGATATTCACTTTTGCTTTAACCTTAGCCTTTGTGGCTTTTGAAGACAAGTCAACTCCTTTTAAGTGTTCTGCAAAGAACCGTTACTCTCTTTTTTTAATTCATCTTATTTTTGTATTTGGGTGTTGATATACAAGTGCAAAAAGTCAAACATCAATGTAGGGTATTGGCTTTACTTTTAAATGTAACCCTGAGTCATATCATAAAGACTGTGAAAATATGGATGGTAATTGATGAATATTCACAACAGTTCTAAATGTCCTTTTTGCAAAATAAACCCTTAGCCTGATGGATCAAAGGAAACCACAGAGATGCTACTCGTCTGGCACACAAGATGGCGCTATCCAGCTTTTTTCATCCCATGACACAACATCTCATATACACATGTTCTTATTTGGATACAAAAACTTGACATGGTTAAGTCTTATGTTATGCTTAACCATGACTGCCTCTGTGTTTTTCTCTCTGAATACCATGCTTCTGTTGATGATTTCTCCTCTCGGTTTCTGCTTTATGCGTGCATTATTGGTTAGTAATTATGCATGCAGTGAGCAAAAGTATCTCAGATGATAAAGCATGTTTGGCCTGTCCACAGTAGCTCGTGCTATGTTGATACCGACCCGTCAAACAAAAGCAAACACACGTTTAAGTTTGGAGAGCATGGCTGTTTATCATGATCAGTGGGAAGTGTTTCATTGTGGTTAATGTAAACATTGTCTGTTGGTCTTGGAACTTGTCTATTGTGGAACTCAGATCAAATGTAGTGCAGCTTTTATGATCTGTGAGAAAGGCTTGCAGATAAAAGGTTCGCAAAGTAGCTGATGACATACTTAACTCAAGTCATTTAAACTATTGTATTCAATGTAGGAAGTATTTCTTCATAGAGAGACATGTGCCAAGTAAACAATCACTTATTTTAGCTCTCAATAGTAGTCCCCTCCTTGCAGGCAATCCATTCTATTATTTTACGCACTAATACTGAAGAGTAATGCAAATGTATTAACTGTCTGTTTGTTGGGTTTTAAAAATTCAACCAGTTGCATAGAAAAGTGGCCTCCTTTTTCTAAAATGAAATGTTGAAGCAATTTTGTCCCAGAGCTAGCTGGCTCAGTCCCAGGTCCAGCAGCTGAGAAAGAGCACTCATCCTTCAGTGACGTGAGTGAGTGCAACACTCATAATGGAGATCCCTGACGCCTCTTTTTACCAGACCGACTGACGTCAGATACAGCGGTGGGGGGGACTGGTTGCTTGTCATCAGATGGTGAAACACAACACAGATATGAAAGGCATATTCCTCACTCACTAGCACTACACTGTAGAGTAAATCATGCTCTACAACAAATAACAATAGAAGCCTCCCTAAAGATCTTGCTCTACAACAGATCCAATAAGCAGCCAAACCAAATCTGATTTATCGCCTCAAGTTATGTCACTTGACTCAGTGAATGTTGAGGCTGGAAGTTTAAAAATGTTACTCCTCATTTCCGCTTTAGGGTTTGTGCTACATTTAGGCTACATTTGTTTAAATGTATATTTTGTAACAAACCAAACATCCAACAAAAATGTCTGCAATTGAGTTGCATTGTGCGTAGTGTAGGAGCAAAGTTTTGACATGGAAAGAAAATGGATAGACGAGACAATATATCTCATGAGCCCTCATTTAAAATGTCTTACAAAGTCGTACACTATACTGTTTATACCTTTTGTCATTAACTTGTAATTGCAGCCTTTAATGCATAGATTTATAAATGTTTCTAAGTACTTAATGTATTTTCTAACTATGTTTTGACTATGCGCACAGGGGTGGTATATTAGTCTGTTTATGATATATATTTATGGCCATTTAGCCAGACCATTTCTATTTCACTTTTGATCTCAAAATGTTCTTTTGTTCCTTTTTTCATTTTTGTAAAGCACTTTGAATTGTGAATTTGTGTTGAAAGGTTCTATGTAAATAAACTTGCCTTGCCTTTATAGATATGTATAAATGTGACTTGTTAGCTTTTGTATATGCTTGATATTTAACTTGTTTACGTGTACTATTCATTGGCTATGCATCATGGGTTTTTAAGATGTAAAATCTCTATGATCAGTTGTAGTAAGTAAGAGCCTGCTAATCAAGACGTTACACAGCATTAAAGATCCCATGTCATGGCCATTTCTACTGATTATAATTCCATTGTTGAGGTATACTAAAATAGATTTATGTTGTGCAATTTTCCAAACTCACATTCGTTTCTCATACAGCATCTCTGTATAGTAATGTCCCCCCCTCCCTGTGAGCCCAGTTGCCGTCTGCGAGACAGCGAGACAGAGTGAAGCCCAGCCGGAAACACACACACACCCGCAGCCTGGCTGGGAGTTTTTGTGTGTGCTCAGGCTGAGTTCCGCGGTGTCTCGCTGTCTCGCCTTCTCACACCAGTGAGCCAGCTCACACTGTCCGCTCCTCGCAGCAGCGAGCCTCGCAACGTCCCACCGAGTGTGTGTTTGTGAGGAACTCCGCGGATTGGTCCAAACGTAACGGCTCTGCGGACGTAACGTCACTATACCCAAATACGTCACTATCCCCAAGAAGAAAACAATGGAAAAAGAGAAATCTCAAACGAGGCGTTCTGGGGCAGCATAGACAGGTCTTTTCTGTGTTAGAGTACTTTGAGGGTTTGTGACTTTGCAGACCGTTTACATGCATAAAAAGCTACATACTGTAGCACACAAGGGGACGGGTAATAACCAGAAAAGCATGACATGGGACCTTTAACATCTTTCCAACAGGAGCTCTTTGGATCAAAAAAACAAATATCTCATAATAGTTGGGAATCATGCATGTCTTTTATGTTGTTAGCTGGCTCTACAGCTGCCGGTGATAGAATTACTCAGCACACTATTATTGGTCCAAGGAACACTTGAAGCAAAACATTCACAACATAAACAAGTTGTCAGATATTCCAATTGCGGCATTAATCATTTTTTTGTCCAGCGCCTCACATGTTTTTAGTCTCATTCGGTGTGAGATCACATTAATGACATCCAAGTATTGCACATATTTATAAAAGTATGTATCAAAAGCTAAATACATAAAGTGGGAGAGAGCTAAATGAGAGGGTGGGGCTCTCTTTTTGAAAGCACAGGGTTGGATGAGAGAAATAAATAGATAAAAAGGGGGAGCGGGTGATGGTGGACCACAGTAGTTCCAACCTTATCACAGGCTTTCTGTCCCATTGTGTGAATCCGCCCATCCTAGGAAATGAGGGCTTCCTGTTGTTTTATAGAGCCTTCCTGCAGAAAGGTTGAGATATGTAATCCCTACCCACCAGGGAAGACGGACAGAGCATTGTCAGGCAAAATGACAGCCACTAGTTCCTCACTTAGGTTTTCTGGCTGTTTTGTGACTCTTCTCATCTGGGGTAAGTAGAGGATTTATGCTGTCCATTTCTTCACACTTATGATTACAATTCTTTACTTGCCCTCTCTCTCACCTCTCAAGAGGAATGCTGGGGGGCTTTCAGTGATTGAGTGGCTCTAAAAAAGGAGCTTAGCAAGTCTCGTGATTGAGTTTGAACGTTAAACAGTTTGGTTTCAGGGTCATAGAATATTTTTGAGCCAGCGGATGAACAAATGTGTGTTTTACTAATAATGATAGTTGTTGTTATTTAGAATTACCATTATAATATTACATTTTGTTTAATGAACAAGGCATCATTTGGTGCTCCCATTTATTAACTAAGATATTTTTTTCTTGTTTGAGGGTGTTTTTGTGTCCTGGTAATATATGTCAAGATTTCCCTGAAAGTAGTAGCAGACAAAGGGAGGATGCCTTGACCTGTTAACTTCCTACTGTTTATTTTTTTGTTATTTCCTTTTCCCACTCTTCTTGGGTGCTGCAGTTTTAGTATACACAATTGTCTAAATACATTTCATGATTGCTGTTGGACTGTTTTATTTATTTTTTACTTTTACACATTTATTCCTATATTCAGTTCTAACTTTGTTGTATTTCTGTCACAGCAGGGTGCACATCAGTGGTTTGTCTGGTAGATGAGCAGTTAACAGCACAACAAGCCACAACAATAGGTACGTGTACTGTAAGAAAAAAAAGAATCATATATAACCACAACTACTTGAACTAACATGACCCCCTTTCTCTACAGGCTATTGTCAACAGATGAGACTGTTGCCAGCAAGTTTCAACTTTGTTTTTGTATTTGACCTTACTATAGACTAAACTACATGTCTGAGTCTCCGAAGGTGATTCTGTCAATTGTCTGCTTTTAATTTAACCTTACCTAAATAACAACAGAAATACATGAATACAATTTAGGCTACTTTATTTTACTCTTTAAACAGTGATTATATACTTGTGTCGACTGGTGGATTCTTTTGGCTCATTTCTTGAAATTAATTAGCTTGGCCTGAAATTGACAAACACAGAAAGCAGAGCACAGTGATCCTGGTTTCTGCCAAGATCTCCTTGTGTGTCCTATCATGAGAATCCAAAAACAACTCTTGGGGAGGTCTCCACCAGTGAGGGTCAACAGCAGTAGACACGAGGCCCACAGTGGTTTGGGGCCAGAGGTTAACTCAAACCTCATTATGAACAGACCCCACCTAGCTGAACTTCCTGAATTTGTTCGTAATTCACCCCATGCAACGGGTCTGATCCACGCATGAACTCTAGGTTGTGAAACAACTGAAACTTTGGAGCAGCGCCCCTTTCACTGTTCCTCCTCCAGAGCCTTCCCTTTTTTTCTTTCCCCTGATTGTCCCCCTCCCTCCCCCTGCAAACTCCCCCCAACTCTGAGCTCCTCCCCTGCTGAAAAGACACATTTCCTGATGTCATTACTAAATCAAAATGCTGCTCGGCAAACAGATGTTGTGAGAGGCCCAACATGTGGGTTTGGTGACATAAATGGACAAGTTTGTCGTAAGAAAACATAAACCATGGATTCAATTTTTCATTCAATCAATAAAACCCACTCTCTGTCACTGCTCTTTAAAGTCACAAGTGTTGACAGTGAGAAACTACCTTACAGATATAGCACACTCAAGTTTTCCCACACTTGTGGAGAAATATATCCGTTAGTTGGCCCTTCAAACACTTCATTAGCTATGACTAATAACTTCTTCCAGGTTGGGAAAAATTTACCTAAAAACGAAATCATGGCTGTCTGCACACAACACCCTGCAGAGTCATGATTACATCCACCCCAAAACGCTAAGCCCTAAATGTTTACTTATGTTTCCTATTTGGCAGAGGCAGCCCAAAAGGCAAATAAATCACATGCTGTGAGCTGGCCAGGCCCTCGACTGTGAGAAACTGAGACTAAAAAGCAGAACAAGAGTTAAAGAGTAAAGGGTTTTCAGATGTGAGTCCAGCCAAGCTTGGGTGTGCTCCCTTTTATTTGGGAGAATGGAGAGGACAATCTTTGTTGCCTCCACCCCTTTAAAAAGAAAGAAAATCCTAAAGAAACGTGTGTTGGAGAGGGGAAGAGCTGCTGCCAAGGCGCAGGCCCGTCAGACAGATCTTCGCAGAACATCTGGTAACCGCGGGTAACACTATTTGGACATCTGGTAACCGAAGGTTACACTGCGACTCTTCCATCCTGTCGGGTTTCCTGTTATGCCTCGCTGTACACAGTCTAACAAGTTTAGGTTTATTATACATGGTTGCCGGTTGGGGAAAACGCACCTTTATTCATTTTTTCTGACATGAAGGGAGCACTTGGTTTCATTGGGGTATTCCTCTCCTTTCTCTGCGGTAAGTGTGTGGTCTCTCTTCCACAGCTGCAAATGCCTGCTTTAGTACAAGACATGCAAAGTAACTCATGAGCTAAAACAGACATGAGTCTTTGCATTGAAGACTGCTATTATGTACTCTATGTCTTATTGTATAACTTATTGAATGGACTGAACTATGAATGGCAGAGGGTTTTGCCTGAACTGCCAAAAGTCAACAATAATGTCTGATTTAAAGTTTTTTAAATCTAACTTTTCTCTGTCATTTTTCTCTCTGACGTCTCTTTAACTCGCTCTCATTCTATTATTTTTCATTCATGCAGCTGGTGGGGCTAATTCTTACAGTTGTATGGACTATTACAGCATCTGTCAGGAATTCTTTGGTGCACCAACAATGGTGTGCCTTCACAATCTGCTTCAAAATCTGTGTATCCCCAAATTCAATGAGGCAATGACATCAATGAAAAGCACTAACTGGTGCACTTGGGGCAATGTGAGCAAGTGAGTAGTATGTGTTTATCTGAGGAGTATTTTCCTTTTTTATATATATATATTTTTAAATATGTGCTGATGTCTGAATCATGTTTTCTGTCTGCAGCTATTATAGTAACCTAAGCCATTGCACGGAGGAGATATCTGACTGTCTCATGATCCCATGGCCAAACCCACTGGTGGAACAGACGTTTGTGGACATCCACTCCAGGTTTTTCAAGGAATGTCCCTCAGAGGAGCTCAGTGACCCCCCCCCAGTCATTGTCATGGCCCTGGTGATAACTCCCATCTGCCTGATCCCTCTCATGGTTAGCCTAGTAGTGCTCAAGACCAAGAATGGGGATGGCAGCTCCTAAAGGTCAGCTCTACTTGAAGGATATCATATTTTTGACCTACACTCACCCTCCTATCCCAACCTGAGGACTAAAGCAATCTTTCAGAAAAGCTTCAGATGCACTTTCATCTCACCAGTGATCTTGCAGAGGACTGAACCTTTCTGCACTCCAAAATTCAAATGAAATCTAAGATATACGCGGCAGAGGAAACCGAGAAGGCGACACTGATGTAGATTGAATATCATCAAAATAACTGATTCTGTTCAACAACAACCTCCCTGATGCTGACAGGAACACTGTGATAAAATCTATGTGATAAACAATTCTGTACCATTCTGTGACAAAAATGTTGTTTTCAACCTACCAACTCGATATCTGAACACGTATCTTTTGCTCTAACTTTGCTGTTGTGAAAACAGAGCTAGATTTTTTTTACTGGAAAACCCACAATTCAGGGTTATGTTGACAAAAGCTTCGGAGCTTGCAAAAGTCAAAATGTATTTGTATTGACACTCCGCATTATGTTGGATAGCAGTTGTGTTGATAAAAGACAAGGTCATTTTTAGTACTGAACTCTGGAACTCTTCTTATGCAGTTTTTCTACCCTGCTTTGAGCCACTAATTCAAACGTGTTTATGCAGAGGAAAAGGGTAATCTATATGTGTAAAAAAAAAGACAGGTAAATAAGTATAGTGTGATGTATGGACCTGGTGATGTGAGTCATAATATAGGCATGGTTTTATGTTACTGATGGGACACCATGAGAAAGGGGGATTTATTTCCAGGTATATCTTTGAGCAGCTGAAAACCCTTCAGCACTTTCTCCAGTCCAACAATGATAATCTTCATGACCATGTGATGAGCTAATTGAAGCGTAATCATTATTAACATAACCACTGACAGACAGACAGACAGACTGACTGACTGAATGACTGACTGACTGACTGACTGACTGACTGACTGACTGACTGACTGACTGACTGACTGACTACAGACAGACAGACAGACAGACAGACAGACTAATATTCTGTGCAGCATGGCGATGAACACTGAGAGAAGACACAAAGATAAAATATTTATCTTTCACCTGAATCATGATTTGTGTGTAATGTTCAATCTTGAATGACGATAAAGTCAATGTAATGGCTTTCAGATTTGTAACAAAATGTGTATTTATATACTGTTTTATATATTGTCCTTACTTTACCCTCTGAAAAAAACACAATCAGACTGCTCTCAAACCATTTACTGTATGTATTTTTATATACTTTTTTTATATTTAAAGCAATTAAATATACTGTTGGATTGTGGCTGTTGCTTATTCTTACTTATCTAGAGTGTCAGAGAAAGGAAAACCAACCAAACTAGCCATCATAACATAAAATAAGGCTGATTAATTCTAGCTTGTGTTCATTAAGATACAACAGAGTTGCCACATAATTCTGGCAAAAACACCCTTTAACCTTTGTCAGTATTTGATTAAACACCCCGTTTCCCTTGAGTGCGGTGCAGATGGCATTGTTTTGTGCTTCAGGTAGTGTTTCACTGTATCTTCAGTGAGCAGTATTTTGGGGTGCAGTTGCTAGGCTGAGCAAGTGCTGATGTAGTCAAGGAAGCAGTGACAGCAGTCATGTATCACACCCTCATCTGGCAAACACAACACTGCAGGGTGGGCCTGTGTTAGTGTACTATAGACTGTATAAAGGTGTGTACGTGTGAGTGTGCGTCTGACAGGGCTGGGTGGGAAAGTGTGTTTGGTGACCTTCTTCCTCTCTAGAAGTCGGGTCATCCTCGTTCCCACCCCCTTCTGATCTCCTCTAATTCAGTGTTACTCCTTATTGTTCCAGCAATTCAGTAACCATTTCCAATCATGTGGGTGTGAAAACAATAAATCACTTTTTATTATTCACATTGCCTCATAGGGGTGTAACGGTATCCGTATTCGTCCCGTACCGTCACGGTTCGGACGTCACGGTTCGGTGCACGCAGTCACACGACGAATACGCCTTTTTTTTACGATTGGGAAAAAAGTCTGTCATTCAGGGCAGTATCTAACACCAGTGGTTCTCAAATGGGGGTACACTGACCCCTAGGGGTACGTTGGAGTACTGCAGGGGGTCGGCTACGTGAGATTTATTTTATGTTAATGAAAACAACAACATAAGTAATACATTTAAACAAACTACTAATAGTAGATGAACTACTTTATTCAAAAGTTTACAGTAATTTTGGATAATAAAAAATAAACTCTGCTCTCTTTTCCTCTCCTGACAGCCTCATGCAGCTCGCTGAACCTGTAATAAGTGACCCGACAGTAAAGAATAAACATATTTATAACTAGTTTAGCTAGTTCCAGAGTAGATAAAAGTATGTAAGGTCTAACTCAGTGTGTTTTTTGCTCCGCTCACCGGTCCGTCACAGTGGCGGAGCTGTGACCCGGCAGAGCTGCATGTCTCTGTCAGCAGCAGCTGATCTCTGATCTCTCTCTCGCGTTTATGTCCAAATCCATCAGATCTAGCTAGTTCTAGTTAATTATATGACTGCCTGCTTATCAAAGGACACCTAAACAACTGGCTTGGCAACGGGGTGTGGCCGCAAAGTATAGCAGCATTATGCATTATGTTTATAAGAGGGGTCAAAATCCCTTTTGGCGGTAGGTAATGGTATACGCTCTTATATTTTTTTCTCTTCATTCCCCAAAATAAATAAATAAATAGATGAATACACCAATTTTTAGGAAAAGTAACAAAGTTTGAGCAGTGTGGGTTTTATATTAATTGAGTTACACATATTTCAAAACACGAAGTGTAACTGCAGTTGCCTCCCTGTCAAGGGACAAAGATCAAAAGCCCATGTAAAGCACAAGCCCATGTTTCTCACTCAATGCAACTAATTTCTTAGTGTTATTGCATGATTTTAAAATTGGTGTGCCATGAATTTAGGGATGGATTGTAAACATTTGAAATGTAGCATTTAAGTGTTTCTCAGTTACAATGTTGTTGTAAATAATTATTTATATAGGCTTTTTCCCCCTAACAAATAGTTGTTGTGTTGATCAGGGGGGTACTTGGCTGAATTTTTTTTCAAAGGTGGATCATTATTGAAAAAAGTTTGAGAATCACTGCACTACAATATACATAATCCAGGGAGCGGTATTGCGCCTAATAGCTGAGAGCTGCCCTTAAACAACAAATGAAGGAGAAGAAGAAAACACAACAAAACGAGCAAAATACAAGAAGAAGAAAAGTTAGTAGGGCGATTTCAAATAACACAGGAGCTAGAAGACCCACCTGCTTCTTTTAAATCAGCTGTGTGGGAACATTTCGGGTTCCCTGTGGACTACAATACAGATGGAGTGCGAGTGGTGGATCAGACGAGGACAACCGGCGTTGTTCGACAGCGGTGCGGTATACTAATGGTAACACAAGCCAAACATGCTAAATCATATCAGAAGGCATCATCCAGATTTGGCAATCACCGGAGCCCGGCAAAAGACAACGGAAGTTCAACAGCTTATCCCTGCTGTTTAGACAATAGACATGAAAGCCGAGAGACCAAAATAAATAACGGAAGATTTTGTATGTTTTTCAACGGCTATGCTGCGCCCTTATTCAATAGTAGAGGACCCCGGCTTTTATTGATTGTGATTTGAAACATTATCGTATTATTTATTTTGTAATATTTTCAAAAAAATCTTTTTAGTTTTACAGCTTATTGAACCTTTTTGTTTGACATCTATTATAGATAATATGGCCATCTGAGTGTGTGTGGTACTGTTTGTGGTTTGTTTGTAACTGTAATAAAGTTAATTATTCAAAATGTTAGAGTTCCTTATTTTTAAACTGAAACTTTCACTACTGTTCAAAAATAAATAAAAAACAAACCTGGAATTATGCATTTGGGACTTTTTTTTGCTTTTTCTTGTTGTACCGAACCATGACCCCCAAACCGAGGTAGGCCTACATACCGAACTGTGAATTCTGGGAACCGTTACACCCCTAGCCATGTGTTTAGTGAAAAACCCATAATTTACAATGTATGAGTTTGTGTTCAGTCAGGAAACCCTGCCCTCTAGCGGTGTGAGGTGATATTGTGAAAGAAGTGGTCTTACATTATACTAAGCAACCGACCAAATCCCAATTGAAAACCCACCTGTTCAAATTAGCCTACTCACTTTAGTGCCCACCTGTTCCTATCATTTGTGTCCACTTTGATTGTCTCCTTGCCTGTTGGTGCTTTTAACCTCTTAGAGTATTTATTAAATTGTACGGTGTTCTTGGGTGTTATGAAAGGCGCCCTTAAATAAAAATGTATTATTATTATGATTATTAACATGACTGTCATTTCAGCCATGGTTAACTGGACCACTTGAGCAATATTGCTACAACATACAAATAGCTCTTTATATAGAAAATATGTTGTGCATTCAGCATGGCATGGCGGTCAAGGAAGAACAGTAAACTATTAAATAAAGTCGAGAATAAACTTACCTACTGTATGTTCTGTAGTATATCAAGTCCTTCTTAGTCCATAGACAACTACACTCCCCCTGTCTACTCAGGATGTATACTGTTGGCATGGAGACAGTGAGTTAGCTGGAATAAAACATTACATTAATTTACATTTTGGCAAACTGAAATCGGTTAGAGTATTTCAAACTAAATAATAGAAGTTTGTTTTTGAGAACATGGATGTACAGGCAACTATCGTGGGATCATTTTCATTCTGAAGAAAACCACATACTGTAATGATTTAAAGACAGTCCTAGGGTTTAAGGAATGTACAAATCTAAAAGAAAATAAATTAAAAAGTTAGCAACCGTAAAAGCTTATTATATAAACACTGGTGTGCTTGATAGATCTGTCTATCTCTTGCAACAGTACTGTGAAGTTTTATATCACTAGGGATCCTTCAAGGGAGTACATGAGGCCAATAGGTTATGTTCCAGTCCTTCAGCTATGCCACAGCGCAATAATCTAACATTTTGAGATGCCTCAACTTGGATATTAATCTGCTGATCTGAACACAATCCCATGGGCCTCGGATTCAATGATCTGTGCTGACACCGAAGAGGGGGACTTGATGCTGTGGGGTTGAAACTGCTTTCTGGAATGGACCAGGGAGAATATCTGAAGTCCTCCAGATATATTTTGTTTTGTAAAATACAAAGTTAAGTCACAGTAAGTTAGTAGACTAGATAGGAAAAATGGGGAAAAAGAAACTAGGAATATGTTGAACCTTGGGAACTTTGTTGACAAGAAAAAGTAAATATTTTAAATAACAGATACTGAATTAATTGGTGAAATTAGTTATTCATTTTAAATCTAAGCTTAAAACTGAGGCTTAACAGCCTTTCAGTTTTACTGTGTGGTCAAAAGATAAGAAACTATTAATGACACAATGGATATATGTGTAACAATTGTAAATATGTAGTGTTGTTTGGTGTCAAATATTTCTTTGTAATTAATTTGTTATAATCACACAGTGTTTTGTATTGAATAATTCTGTGTTCTTCCTTTACTAAACTTTAAATACCTGACTAGGTCTGAAATCAGTGGGCGGAACCTCAAAAATGCAGTCACTGTACACAGAAGATTTTTTTGTGGGGACTTCCCCCCCTTCATATTGTGTCCCTCACGTTTTGTGAATGTGTTCCACTTGAGAGGAGTCAGTTTGAGGGAAAACTAATTTAATAACGACTGATTTGTTATATAAAGTATCTGTTGTCAGTAAATAAACAGAGATCGGCTCAACGGTATGCTGACTCGGGTCTCTTCCAACAAAAGAAACACAATGCAGACACCGCGTATCAACACCGGTTACATATGTTATCTTTGCAATTCTAGAAGGGAAATGTTTGGGTGTGATCTCTGCAGTTCTCACCCAGAGCAGCAGCTGCGTCTCCAGGTGCAGGTTTGGCTCTGGAGCGTGTCAGGGCCTCCAGGTCTTCTCCCAGTAGGAGCCGATGACTGGTATGTCCCAGGGATCTGGCAGAGTGGATGGAAGGACAGCGGGTAATGGCATCTGTACATCAACCGCTGCTTCCTTTGGCAGACTCAGTGGTGTGGCTGGGGACGCAGGTGGCTGTTAGTGTGAGCTTCACCGCTTCATATGAAGGAGCATTCGGTAACATCGGTGACAGCAGGTCAACCGTTACTTGGTAGCTAGAGTCAGTCAGATTCCTGGAGGTGCTATTGATGAGTTATTGATACCTAATTGGATTTAAAGATGTATTCATTCCTAAAAATATGTTTGCATTATACATTTGTCTCACTACCTGTTGTATTTTTGAGCATTTGCGACT